ATTTTTGCAAAACAAACTCAATGTTGATAGGTCAAGATTTAATAAACTTAGATTTTTGCAAAACAAACTCTTAACGATAATAGGTCAAGATTCAATAAACTCAGATTTTTGCAAAACAAACTCAATGATAATAAGTCAAGATTCAATAAACTCAGATTTTTGCAAAACAAACTCAACGTTAATAGGTCAAGATTCAATAAACTCAGATTTTTGCAAAACTAACTTAATAATAATAGGTCAAAATTCAATAAACTCAGATTTTTGCAAAACAAACTCAATGTTGATAGATTAAAATTCAATAAACTTGGATTTTTGCAAAACAAACTCTTAATGATAATAGGTCAAGATTCAATAAACTAAAACAAACTTAATGATAATAGGTTAAGATTCAATAAATTTAGATAAAACAAACTTAATGATAATAGATCAAAATTCAATAAACTCGGATTTTTGCAAAACAAACTTAATAAAAAAAATAAAATTTTATTAAAAAATAATTATTCGAAATTTAAAATACATTTTCCATTAATATTAAATTTCATATTATCAATATTAAATTTGATTACACTACTATTTGTATTTAAAATAATTAAACTAATTTTCTGTTTCTTTATATCATTAGTAATCTCATTGTTTTTTCTTTTTTTAATTTCAATATTATGTTAAACTGGTTGTAAAGCTTGACCAGTTGCAACAATTTTTTTTACAGTTTCTTCTTTATTAATCTCTTCAATTTGAATTGGTTTAGGAACTTGAATTGAAGTTTCATTATTTTGTATTGTTAAAAAATTGGAATTTTTCTTTCTTTGAACTTTATTAATTTCTTTGATTCATTTTTTTCTTTCTTCTTGAATTGCCATAACTATACGATAATCATTTTTATAATATTTACTAAAATGATTTTTGAGATTAGTAACTTGAACATCAATATTATAAGTTGCTTTACAAATATTGCAAATAAGTCTCATTTTAAGAGTATTTGTATGGAAGTAGTTACGAATTTCATGAGTATTATGCATCTTGTTTTTTTTTAAAAAATTATTATATACAAAAAAAATAAAGAATTTATAATAAATTTGAAATTGAAATTTGAAACAAGTTTTTCAAATCTATGCAATATATTATGGTACTTTAATTTTCTAAATTTGTAAATTGTTGTGTAAACTTCTAAATTCATAAAAATGATGTGCAATATATTATTATATTTCTAAATTCGTAAAATTGATATATAATATATTATGGTACTTTAACTTTTTAAATTTATAAATTGTTGTTGTGTAAACTTCTAAATTCGTATTATAATTTTGATTTGCAATATATTATTACTCTAAAATTCTTAAATCATAATTTTTTTCTAAATCGTAATTTTAATTTGCAATATATTATTACTCTAAAATTCCTAAATCATATTTTTAATTTATTACTCTAAAATTTTTAAATTGTAAATTCGATTTATATCTACTACTGAGAGAAAATAAAAAACTTAGTTTTTTTTTGATCATTTTAAAAATATCTATAAAAAGACCAAAAAAACAACCTTATTTTAACTGCATCGAATTATAAGATTTGATAACCGAAAGTAATATTGGTGCTTTCATAAAAATAATTAAAAATATTTTAATTATTTTACAATGTCTATTCAAAAAGATATTGTAACACCCTTTTCAAAGTTTTCAAAAATTAATCAAAAAGCATTTCATGAACATTTTATTGTAAAGAATTCAATATCTTTTAAAAATATTAATTTTAATCATTCATATATTATTCTTTATAAAAAAAAAAATCAAATAAAAAATTCAATTTATTAGAACACACTAAACATATACCTTTTTTTACATTTTTTCAATATAAATGCAATCGTAATTTTCTAAAAGAACAAGAAAAAACTTTTCGTGAAGATTTATGGCAATATGATAATTGCCATACAAATTAGGAATATTCTTTTAGAAAATGTTGTCGTTATTTTAAATTGTTACAAAGTGTAGATAAAAAATATCCAAAAGAAGAACGATTAGGTTCTTTGAATAAAAAAGATCTTTAATGAAATTCAAAAAATTATTACGAGATTTAAAAATTGATTATGATTTATTTTTTTGGGTCAAAAATTTTAATTCTACTAATATTTTTATTTACAAAAATAAATTGAAATTACTTAAAGAATTTAAAGTTATTAAAAGAAAAAAGAAAGCTAAAAATATTGATATTGAAAAATTTACAGAAAAAAGAATTAATTATCTTTCTAAACAAAATAAAAAATATATATTAAAATCACCTGAATGGTATCCTAAATCTTCATAATTTTTAATTAGTGCAATTTTGTACTGATTAAAATTTTAATTATGTAATTCATTAATTAATATATTAAATAAATTCAAAATGCCTAAAACTACCACAAAACAAAATGGTGTTAATTCAGCTCCTTATGATAAAAAAAAAACCAAGACAAATTTTTTCAAAAGAAAAAATTGACTTTTACGTTTCTAAAAAAGGATGGCAAATAAACTTAATTTTTCTTGAAAATTCTCTTATTAATTGTTATCCGTCTCAAAGAATATTTAGAAGTAATTAAAATTTTAAGAAATATTCAAAAAGATCAAGCTTCTCAAATCGAAGAAATTAAAAATAGAATGTCTATAAATAGAAAAAATTCTAACTATGAATGTGCTTCTGAATAGTTAAAAACTCTTAATAGAATTACTACTGGTATTAATATAAGTTTAAAAAATTATAATGATTTAGAAACTAAATTTAAAGATGAAAATATTGAAGAGGTAGAAGAAATTGAAGATGTATTTTCTATTTAGTTTTTTTACCAAATAGAATTTTATTTTTGTAAACAAAATGAAGTTTAAAAATAATCTTTTACTTATCAAAAAAAAAGATTTAATTGAACCATATAATTTTTATACAGAATTTAGTTTAAATCAAAACATTATACTGTAATTCGAAGAAGCTTATGAATTAAACAACAGAAAAAACCTATTTATAATTATAAACAAAAATATGACAAACAAAAGTTTTATAAAAATTGGTTAACTAATCATTATTTTTATTATTGTAATAATTGTGATTTTATTTATAAGCGAAATTATTGTAAACAATATAAACGAAAACTTTATTCTAAAGAAGATTTTGATAATAATGATGATATCATAACCGAATCAACTACAGTATTTCTGAAAGATTTTTAAATTATAATACTGATGATGGTTTTGTTGTTCAAGATAATGAAAAAAATTATTTTCATATTGATTGTAAACAATATTATTATTCAGAATTTCATACATATCATCAGCAAAATATATAAACGTAATCTTACGAAAGTTATTACATCCCGAAAAATTCCGCAATAATTACGATTGACACAGAATATTTCGATATAAAATATTATGAAATATATTACGAAATATTACGAAATATGTTACGAAATATTTCGATAAGATTCAAACTAATTCGAATTAATTTGAAATATACAAAATTTTGCTGCTTACTAGACAGAATTAAAACTTTTATAAAATAAATGAAATAGTAATTTGATAATTTGAAAAATGCGAATCAATTCGAATTTTTTAACAAAATTTAAATAATTCTGATTTAGGTTTATTTCGAAAATTAAATATCCAAAATGTAATATATTTGGTTAGCATATTTTTTTGATTTATTTGCTTTATTTCAAATTTTTTTGAATTATATTAAAATTAATTACAAAGATAAATTTATTCAAATAAATAAATATTATAAATTTTATAGCTTAAACTATATTATTTTATTTATTTAAAATTTTTAAATATTACATATAAAAAAAGCTAACTAATCTTATGTTAAAGAAATATATAAACATATACTTTTGGCAACAAAAACTCTTTTCGCTGATCAACAATTTCAAAAATCGCAAAAACAAGAAACAAAGATTTTATCAATAACTGTCATAGAAAACATCTTTTGCGGTATTAAGGAGAAGGATTCAGCACAAAAAGATACCTCAAGTCTCTTAATACAGAAACTTGAAAGCAAACCAAATCAAAGAAAAACAATATTTTTAAAATTTTTTTGTCAAATTTTAAGGAATTTGGATTTTCGTCCTAGAACCTGTAAATTTAAGACGTGTGACAAGTGATCATCAAAACAATATACAAACAAAATAAACACGTATCTTTTAGGGAACATCAACAGACTTTATTGACAAACAAACAAACAACCACGTCCTTTGTAGGAAGTACTAACAATCAG